AGTTCTCTATGATAGAAATAGAAGGTTGTGATAGGGGAGTTTTGAGTAAAAGATGTTGAGTCACATTATGGCTGGCCTTATATGGGAAGGTATTAGGAATGCCATTCTGACAATAGTCAGGAAGGAATGGATTAAAGAGGGGAGGCACCAGCATGTTAGCAAACTGGGAACCTAGTCCTAAATTTGCCCCATAGATGTTTTGTTTGACCAGCGTGATGTATATTATTTTTTTTCAATTTGGAATCTTAAGCAGGGTACACACTCTCCAATTTATCTTGGGCCCTACCATTCCTAATTCCCACTGTGGTTTCACACGATGACCTAACATGCCAAATCCCTAAAAGGCATTTGATTTTGCTACCCCTGCTATCAGAATGAAGACCAGTCCAAAGTGCTATAACACAAATGCCCAATATCTGTGAAAACATGTTTGGACTCACTAATACACACAAGTCATGCCAACCAAAGCATAGATGAGATATAAATTTCCAACCTAATAAATTTCTAAAAAGTGATAATAGCCAGTGTTAAACAAGAGGGTGGGGACCTGGACTTTTAATGCACTTTTGGGGATCCTGTAAAATAGAATATATAATCCTTCTGGAGAACAACTTGGTAAATTGTAACAAGAATCTTTGATCTTGTAATTATACTTTTAAGAATCTATTTTAAGGAAATTATCCAGCAATGGCTAAGGAGTGTCAATGCAGCATTTGTTTCATGAAAAATTAGAAGTGAATAAAACATCAGCAATTGAAATTAGTTTTTATAAGTTAGGCTTTCAAAGCATTTAATGTCATAGTAAAATATTTATGATATAAAAGAAACATAAATGTGTAGTGTATTATAATCCTAATTTTTAAAAAATCTGTGAATATATACATAGAACAATGAGTGGTTAGAAATGGGACAAAATGATCAACTCTGGCAAAGTTATTGTGGATAATATCATTCTCTCTACCTTTCTGAAATTTCCAAATTGCCTGTAATGAACGTGTATTGCTTTTATGATAAAAAAGAGACCCTGCATAAGTTATTAAGGCAATATAGAGTATTGTAGTCATCCAGGTTTGAGAGATAATAGGGACTTGAACCAGAGTGGTAGCAGAGGAAATTGATGCAAGAGACATTAAAGGAAACTCATTAGACTTGGTGACTCTATGTAGGTGATGAAAGGCAGGAGAGAGTAAAAAATAATTTTAAGATCTCAAGCCTGGGTGGTAGAGTGAATGATAATAACATTGACAACAAAATCAGATCAATTATCTTTCTCAAAAATTGGAAAATTGTTTGTTTGTTTTTTCAATTTGCTGTCTAGAGGATAATATGTTGTCCTAATGAGTCAGATAATGCTGTAATTTAGTGAAGTGGATGCACTGGCAAGATGGATCACTTAAAGCATATGATTTTTTTTGTGATGGTTGCAGACCATTAAATAAAATCCGTCTTTAAAATTAATAAAAATGCCAGACTGGGGATAGGGTAATAGAACAAATTTTCATGTTTCCTGCTTAACCAAATGAACAATCTTCTTTCTGTACATAGCAGTAATCTTCCCAAAGTGAACTGCATATCTAACAGAAGTACTGATTTTTTATTTCCAGAATCATTGAATTCTAGAATGAATGTGGCCCTAGAGCTCACCTAATGAGTTAGATGTTTACATGGTTAATTATATTTCTTTAATTATAATATTTTAAAACTCTAGATTCTAATCCTACCCCTTCACTTGAGAGATGGGGACATTGGAGGCTACAGAGAAATTTCTCAAGGATTAGTACATAGATAATTGCAGAACCTGAATGAGAAGCCATTATAATTTCAATTACTGACTTATAATCCAAAGAAATTTTCCATGCCCTTTCTAAATACGTTTTTCTCCCATACTACACCAATAGTCCTTTAAAAAAAAAAAAACTCATTTAGGCCCTACCGGGTTTGGCTAAGTGGAAAGAGCATCAGCTTGTAGACTAAAAGGTCCTGGGTTTGATTCCAGTAAGGGCACATGCCTGGGTTGCAGGCTCCATCCCCAGTAGTGGGCATGCAGGAGGCAGCCAATCAATGATTCTATCATTGTTTTTATCTCTCCCTCTCCCTATCTCTCTGAAATCAATAAAAATATATATTTTTTAAAAAACTAACATTACTAATGTTAGTTTATTTTTTTAAAAAAGTCATCTAGGTGTGGCCACAAATAAATTAAATCTGTGTCGTTTTCCTTAAGGGTTCTAGTGTTTTGATAATGTTTTGTTCATCACTGTAGTAACATTTTGGCCAACAGCATTTCTTCCTGTTCACTGCTGTTTGTCTTTTCTCTGTAACTAATTGGGCTGCTGGCCATATTGTGAGGATACACACAGGGGATTGATTGCTTCTCCTTTGCATCTTTTTCATCCATAAAAAAATCATCTATTCTTCCCCTACTTCTTGGAAACCAATGATGTTTTCAGTATTGTGCCAGTTTTGCATTCCTAACTGGAAAGCAGCTTTTTAACTTGGGAGTTGACTTCAAAATAGTGCTGATTTTTTTAAAACCTCAGTATATATCTTTAAAAACTAAAAATATTATCCTGTACTAGAGGCCCTATGCATGAAATTTGTGCATTGGGGAGGGAGGGGGGTCTTCTCAGCCCAGCCTGCACCCTATATAATAAATGGCTAATATGCAAATTGACCAAATAGCGGACAGAAGGGTCGCTATATTGTCCCCTGGTGATCAGTGTGCTTTCACGGGGGGGAACGCAGCTCAGCCAGAGGCCTCTGTGGCAGTGCTAAGGATGCCCTACTGCCAGCTTTGGCCCAGTCCCTGCAGAGACATTTCCTTAGGGCTCCCGGACAACTTTCTATTGTAAATGTTGATCCAAAGAAGACTAGGGCATGTAATTGCTTGATTTATATACAAAAGGCCCGTGTTTGGCTTGGTGTTTAGGTGTGTGAAACCCCACATCCGTCCCTCCCAGGCTTTCACCATAGCACTGTCTGCGTCCATGGCCATGTATATAAGCATGTAAGTTCCCTGGTTAATTTAAAAATTAGACTGACATAATTTACAGAATTGAAGAATAGGTCAAAGCCTTTCCATTTGGTCCTTTTACTATACATGGCCATAGTCATAGAAACACTGCTCAGGAAAAGGCCATGATGCTAATGTTGGGTGAAAATGAGAGTACCGAAGTTTCAGAAATGAAAACAGGTAATTGAAAAAAATGAGTGGATCCTTAGAAGCCTTTTCTGCTGCGTTGTTCACCTCACTGAAACAGATTGCTTTATTCCTGTCCAATACAGCTAAGCATTGGGTCTCATGACCAAAAAACAATGAAAGTATAATGTTCAGGGCACATTTAAAAAAATTAAAATGGCCGAAACCGGTTTGGCTCAATGGATACAGCATCAGCTTGGGGACTGAAAGGCATATCCCCAGTAGGGGGTGTGCAAGAGGCAGCTAATCGATGACTCATTGATGTTTCTAGCTTTCTATCTCTCTCCCTTCCTCTCTGTACAAAGTCAATAAAATATATATATAAAAAAATATTATCAGTAATACTTACTAAGCATCTATAATGTGCCAGGCACACTAAGTGGTCTTTATGTATTAAATTAATTTAATCCACATAACAATGCCATGAGGCAGGTGGTATTTTACCTTCTGTTTATAAATGGGAAAAACCAAGGCACAGAGAGGTTAAGAAAGTTACCTAAGGTCAAGTAGATGGTAAATGCCACAGCAGAGATTTGAATCCAGACAATCTGACTCCAGAGCCTAGGCTATTATCTACTATGCTGAACTGCTTCCCCAAATTAACGGCTTTATCCCTGATATTACTAATTTAAGATGCACATGATAATATAATATTGATATTTCTTTCATTTAATGTCTTCATTATTTTATTTTGGTGAATGTATTTATCAGAGGAACTCCAAAGCCCTTTGATCCCATAAGGTCTTATGTTTTTTAGCCACAAATAATAACATGAGAGTTTGCAGCAAACTAACTATAACAGTTGGGGTGGTTTGCTGTATTTTCATGCAGAGGCCAGGTTTCCAGACAACAGCATGAGCAAAATCTATTTTAATTGTTTACCCTATTTTTCTATTTCCACAAATCAAGCTGTAAAAATTATCCAGGAGTCAGAGCCTTGCTTATTAGGCTAGTTGCATAACAAAGGCTCTTCCTCCCACAGGCTTGTATAAAATATGTCCCCTACCCCAGAAAGAGAATGAGGCCAAGTGATATGAGACAGAGTGTTCTGGAGACTTCTTAAATGCTATGTGTGGGCTGAGATACATTTTTAATAAGCTCTTCATTAATATTTTAGACAAAATCTAATTTTAAATAACCAATTATGAAATGTAATTCTGGCCCAGCTGGTGTAGCTCACTGGTTGAGCATTGACCCATGAACCAAGAGGTTGCTGGTTTGATTTCCAGTCAGGGCATATGCCTGGGTTTCAAACTTGGTCCCCAGTGGGGGGCATGCAGGAGGCAGCCAATCAATGATGTTTCTTTCTAATCGATGCTTCTATCTCTCTATCCCTTTCCCTTCCTCTCTTTCCAAAAAGCAATAAAATATATTTTAAAAAGAAATGTAATTCTGACACATGCTACGACATGGGTGAACCTTGAAAACATGCTAAGTGGAAGAAGCCAGACACAAAAGGGCACATAATGAAGGATTCTGCTTATATGAGGTATCTAGAATAGGCAAATTCAGAAACACAGAAAGTAGAATAGAGGTTACCAGGGGCTGGGGGGAATGGTGAGTTATGGTTTAATGAGCACAGTTTCTGTTTGGGATGACGAAAAAGTTCTGGAAATAGTGATGATGGTTGCATAACTTATTAATGTACTTAATGCCATTGAACTGTACACTTAAAAATGGTGAAAATGGTAAATTTTATCTCAGAGTTCAAACAAATCCCAAAGCCTCAAACAAACAAACAAACAAACAAACAAACAAAACAAAAAACACCTGTTTTAAATCTCATGGAGTCAGAGCTTACCAGAGTGTCATCATTTTGGTCTCCAAACATTTCTTTAAAAATCTTGCCAGGATCAGGAATTGGAGGGAATATAATGATCTTGAGCCTTTAAAAAAAACAAAAAACAGACATTTATTATTATTATTATTATTATTATTTTTTTTTTTTTTTTTACCAAATCTTCACCCTATGAGAACATCATACTTAAATACAGCATATTAAAAGAAGGCTTGGACAGCCTGGCCGATGTGGCTCGATGGTTAAGCATCAAACCATGAATCAGGAGGTCATGGTTCCATCCCCATCAGGGTACATGCCCGGGTTGCGCACTCAGTCCCTAGTAGGGGGCATGCAGGAGCCAGCCAATCCATGATTCTCTCTAATCATTGATGTTTCTATCCCTCTCTCCTTTTCCCTTCCTCTCTCTGAAATCAGTAAAAAAAAAAAAAAAAAAAAAAAAAATATATATATATATATATATATATATATATATATATATATATATATTTTTTTTTTTTTTTTTTTTTTAAAGAAGAAGGCTTGGACTGAAGGCATGGTATGCAAGTGATCTGTAGTGATAGAGCAGTTGTGAAGAAATTTCTAAAACAAGCTGAGAAATCAATGTGCAAATAGGATCAAGTATGTGTGGAGTTAGGGGACTTTCAGGATAGGCAAACTTACTCATACCCTACCATTTTAAAAATTTTAAGCTTTATTGCGATATACTTGACAAATAATTGTATATATTTAAGGTGTATGTACAATGCGATGCTTTAATATATGTATACATTGTGAAATGAGCACTACAATCAATCTAATTAACATTCATCACCTCACATGGTTATGATTGTGCATGTGATACCCTATAATTAAATAATAATGCTTTAGTCATCATAGATTAGATGGGAGCTTGCTATTAATAATTTTGGAAAACATAATATCATATTCCTAAAACAGGGTAAATGCCTCTTTTTCTTTTTCTTACTTCTCTGCTCTATTTTTACATAGAGATGGTGGATTACCTCATCTCTGAGGTTTCTACACATTGGTGTACCCCAGCGTTCAGCCTTTTGTCCTCTTTATCTCCCTCACCTTATGAGCACTTTCTTTACATCTTAGTGCTTTAAATCCATTCACATGCCAAGGACTCCCAAAATTCTATCTCCAGCCCAGACCTCTCTTAAACTCCAGATTCATGTATACAACTACTTATTTAACACCTCTACTTGGACATCTAGTAGGCACCTCAAACTTATGTTCAAAACTGAAGTTCTCACCTTTACATTAAAGCCTGCTCTCCTCATAAATTTCTCTATCATGTACAGAGTAAATGGCTCCAGCATTCACTTAGTTGGCTGAAGCCAAAAATCTAAAGAGTTATGTTTGAATTTTCAATTTCTCCCACATCTCCACAGAGAAGCATCATCAGCTAGTGCTATCAATTCTATCTTCAAAATATATCGCACATCAGACCAGTTCTTACTATTTCCACTGCCAACACATAGCCGAGGCCACCCTCACCTTTCCCCTCAAATCCTTCCATATCTTCTAATTTGCTGCTTCCATGCTTGCCCATTCTTCACTCAGCAACTATAGTGATCTTTTATGACAGTAAATCAGATCACATCCCTCCTCTGCTTAAAACTCTCTAATGTTTCCCCCTTATGCTTAAGATAAAATTTAATTTCTTGCCATAGCCTGCATGATCTAGCCCTGCTACCTCTCCAGCCTCATCTCCTGTCTCTCTCTCCCTTGCACACTCTACTCCAATAAGACACACAAAGCTCATCCCAGCCTTGGAGCCTTTGCACTTACTATTCCCTTGGCCTGGAATACTCTTTCTCTGAATATCTAGCCTTTCTCCACATCACACCTATAACTTTACTACTCACTATGTGAAATCATAGTATTTATGATTTGTTATCTATCTATATATTTATCTATCTATTCTCTCTCTCTCTCTCTCTCTCTCTCAAAATATATATAATTTGTTTTATACAAATTAATCCCCCAAAATGCGTACATATTTTACCAGCTGATAGCTCATGTTTGAAAATGAAATATATTTTAATAAACACTGCCTTTACAATTGTTTAAAGTGTGTATACATTTTTTGGGACACTATATATATATATATATATATATATATATATATATATATATATCCATCCTCCTAGAATGTAGATAGGGACTTTGTCCTGTTCTCTGCTGTAATGCCAGCAATGAGGACAGTGACTGGCACATAAATAGGCACTCAATAAATGTATAGTGGATGAATATTGACCTGATGATAAAATATTGGTTTAGATTCAGCTTAATAACCTTATTTCAACCATATGTATTTACTAAAAGAGCAAATAATGACACCAGACTAGTCCCTATAGTTAGATAGAGAAGGGAAAACATTCTCAAGGAATGAATACCATATATTACATTCAACTTGGTGAAGCTCCTTCCTACAGCATTAAGTAGCAGCATGCTTTCCATTCATACCAGACAAGTCATTTAATGAACAATAGTTTCCACTTTTAAAACTTCATTCCAACAGTTACCAACTAACTGTCAATAAATTAGACATTTGAAAGAGTAGAATGAACAAAAGTCCTAGCAACAATTCTAAACACATGCAAAGAAAGCAGTGCCTGAGAAGAGCCCTGGGAAACTCAACTAACACTTCCCTCACCATAAAATGTACATAATAATACCTCTTTGTCAGTTATAATCCAAATGCTTTTTAAAAAAATATATTTTTATTGATTTTGTACAGAGAGGAAGGGAGAGAGATAGAGAGTTAGAAACATCAATGAGAGTCATCAATCAGCTGCCTCTTGCACACCCCTTACCCGGGACCTTTCAGTTCCCAAGCCGACGTTCTATCCATTGAGCCAAACCGGTTTCGGCCCAAATGCTTTTAATACACTGGGCAAACATCAAACACCCACACAGAGTAATAACCATAGCAACCAGGCTAGCAGAAACTGTCAAGCCTGCCTGGGCAGTTGCCTTACCTTTTTAGATAAAGCAGAAGGACTATGATTGCACCTGCAACAATGATTGGAATTATGAGTAACATGGTGATATAGAGTGTTGGATTGGTCTTCTTACCTGGAAAATGGAAAGCAAACAGAAAGATATGAGAAATAAAATTCTTTTAGAAATAAATCAAGCAACAGCTCTGTTAGAGCAGTGAGGTCACATATATTTCTGCCCTTTGCCCCAAACTATTTTCCAAAACCCTTCAATTAAATTATCCTCTGTTATCTTAATAGTGGGGGGAAATCTTGCTCTAGTGCCTAAATTCCATGAATGAATGAATAAACACCTTAAAATTATCTAAAACTGACTCTCAATGTTGCGAAGATGGCAACCAGCAGGAAGGTAGAGTGTGAGAGAATGAGGGAGTGATAGACGAGTATGTGGATGTGTGTGGTGTGTGTGTGTGTGTGTGTGTGTGTGTGTGTGTGTGTGTGTGTGTGTATGAGCTAGGGACAGTTATATTCTGCAGGTCTTCCATGGGGCTGACAAACTGGGCAGACTTAGATGGTGGAGCTCTGTACAAAGGATTGTTAGAAAATAATATGAACAACTATATTTCAACAAACTAGACAACCTGGATGAAATGGATATATTTCTAGAAAAATACAACCTTCCAAAACTCATTCAGGAAGATTCTAAAAATCTCAATAGCCTGATAACTATGAAAGAAATTGAAGCAGTCATCAAAAAGACATCAATAAACAAAAGCCCGGGGCCAGATGGCTTCCCAGGAGAATTTTACCAAACATTCAAGGAAGAACTAAAAATCTATCCTCAGACTATTCTAAAATTCAAGAGGAAGGAACACTTCCAAGATCATTCTATGAATCCAGCATTAACCTAATACCAAAACCAGATAAAGACAACACAATGAAAGAGAATTATAGGCCAATATCCCTGATGAACATAGATGCCAAAATCCTCAACAAAATTGTAGCAAATCAGATTCCAGCAATACATCAGAAAGATCATACATCATGACCAAGCAGGATTTATCTCGGGGATGCAAGGATGGTACAATATCTGCAAATCAATAAATGTTATACATCACATAAACAAATTGAGAGATAAAAATCACATAGTCATATCTAAGGATGCAGAAAAAGCATTTGATAAAACCCAACACCATTTCTTGATAAAAACTCTCAGCAAGGTAGGAATAGCAGGATCATACCTCAGCATAATAAAAGCCATATATGACAAATCCACAGCCAACATCATACTCAATGGGCAAAAACTAAAACCATTTTCCCTAAGAACAGGACCAAGGCAGGGATGCCCACTCTCACCACTCCTGTTTGACATAGTACTGAAAGTACTAACCATAGCGATCAGACAAGAAGAATAAATAAATAAAAGGCATCCAAATGGGAAAAGAAGTAAACCTCCTTATTCCCAGATGACATGATACTATACATAGAAAACCCTAAGGACTCCATCAAAAAGTTATCAGACTTAATAAGTGAACTTGGCAATGTAGCAGAATACAAACTTAACGCCAAGAAATCTATGGCATTTCTTTATACCAATAGTGAACTTATAGAAAGAGAAACTAAAAAAGCAGTCCCATGTACCATTGTATCAAAAAAATTAAGATACATAGGAATTAGCTAAAGAGGTTAAAGACTTATATGCGAAAAACTACAGGACACTGAATAAAGAGATAGAGGAAGACAAGCAGATGGAAGAACATACCATGTTCATGGACTGGTACAATCAACATCATTAAAATGTCCATACTACCCAAAGCAATCTATAGATTCCATGCATTCCCCATTAAAATACCAGCAGCATATTTCACAGACCTAGAACAAACGTTCCAATAATTTATCTGGAATTTAAAAAAAAAAAAGACCCCAAATAGCAGCAGCAATCCTAAGAAAAAAGAACAAAGTAGGTGGGATCTCAATACCAGAATTCAAGCTGTATTACAAAGCCACTGTTATTAAAACAGCCTGGTACTGGCATAAGAACAGACATATATTAATAGATCAATGGAATAGAATAGAGAACTCAGAAATCAACCCAAACCACTATGTCCAATTAAGATTCGACGAAGGAGGCAAGAGCATACAATGGAGTCAAGATGGTCTCTTTAATAAATGGTGTTGGGAAAATTGGACAGATAGATGCAAAAAGATGAAATTAGACAACCAACTTACACCATACACAAAAATAATCTCAAAATGGGTAAAGGACTTAAACATAAGATGAGAAACCATAAAAATACTAGAGGCATCCACAGGCAGCGAAATCTCAGACATATGCCAAAGCAATTTCTTCACTGATACTGCTCCTAGAGCAATGGAAACTAAAGAGAAAATAAACAAATGGGACTACATCAAAATAAAAAGCTTTTGCACAGCAAAAGAAACCATCAACAAAACAACAAGGAAGCCCACTGTATGGGAGAACATATTTGCCAATGTTATCACCGACAAGGGTTTAATTTCCAAAATTTACAGGGAACTCATACAGCTTAATAAAAGGAAGATAAACAACCCAATTAAAAAATAGGCAATGGACCTAAATAGATACTTTTCAAAAGAAGACAAACTGAAGGCCAAGAGACCTATGAAAACATGCTCAAAGTCACTAATTATATGAGAGATGCAAATCAATATGACAATGCAGTACCATCTCACATCTGTCAGAATGGCTATCATCAACAAATAAACAAGTGACAAGTGTTGGCGAGGATGCAGAGAAAAAGGAACTCTTTTGCCCTGCTGGTGGGAATGCAGACTGGTGCAGCCACTGTGGAGAACAGTATGGAGTTTCCTCAAAAAACAAAATGGAACTCCCATTTGACTCAGTGATCCCACCTCTAGGAATATATTCCAAGAAGCTAGAAACACCAATCAGATAGGATATATGCACCCCTTTGTTCATAATAGCACAATTATGTTCATCAAAGCTAAGATTTGGAAACAGCCTAAGTACCTGTCAGCAGATGAGTAGATTAAAAAACTGTGGTACATCTATGCAATGGAATACTATGCTGCAGTAAAAAAGGAGGAATTCTTACCATTTGCAACAGCATGGATGGACTTGGAGAGCATTATGCCAAGTGAAACATGCCAGTCAGAGAAAGATAAATACCACATGATTTCACTCATTTATGCAATATAATAAACAATATAAACTGATGAACAAAAACAGATCCAGTGACAGAGAAGCAGCAATCAGACTGTCAAACCTCAGAGGGAAGGTAGGGGAAGGTGGGAATAAGGGGAAGAGATCAACGAAAGGACTTGTATGCATGCATATAAGCCCAACCAATGGACACAGACAACAGGGAGGTGAGGGCATGATTGGGGGGGGGCGGGATTTGGGGATTTATGGGGGGATGAGGACACATATGTAATACCTTAATCAATAAAGAATTTAAAGATTAAAATAAAAAACAAATTATATAAAACCAGGATATCTCAACAGGTTTCAGACACTATTAACAAAGATGTTATATCTTTTAAATGCATCATCTCATTAACAGTGACTATATTTTCGTATTGGTTACTTAATACTATTAAACACCTAAAATAATCCTAACAACAACTAGCACTGTTCTTTATTGAGCACCTACTATATGTGTGATACCATACTACGTGCTTCTATATGTGTATATCTATGCTACAGAGGTAGATAATACTGTCTCCCATTTACACAGATGAGAAGAGCAAGGCTCAGAGCAGTTTACTAGATTGTCTCTACGGGTTTAGTAAGTGATGGAGTCAAGCCTCAAATCCAGCACTGTCCAAATCCAAAGTCTTTAACTGTTACACCTAACTCGTGAACTATATGTCTATTTATTCAATTATCTTTTCCACGAGGACATGAACATTTAGAAAGCATCAAGGCATAGATAGCATCATTGTTTTAGGCAGCCTCTAAGATGAACCCAAATGATCCCTGCCTCCTGGTATTCATACCCTTATTTAACCCCTCCCCTTGAGGATGGGCTGAACTAATTGACACATTTGTAAAAAACTGAACAGCAACAATGATGGAATATTATTTCCAAGATCAGGTTATAAAAAACTGTGGTTTCCATACTGGGTATTCTCTTATATAGTCTTTCTTTCTTGAATCACTCAATTGGGGAAGCCAGCTGATACTATGTAGTGAGGTAGCCCTATGGGAAGATCCATATAGCAAGGAACTGAGGGAGGCCTCTGTATTGATATTCTAGAATTACTTTAACAAATCACTACACACTGGTTGTCTTAAAACAACAGGAATATATTCTCTAACAGTTCGGGAAGCTAAAAATCCAAAATGAAGGTATCAACAAGGACATGCTCCCTCTGAAGCCTCTAGAGAATAATCCCTCTTTGCCTATTCCTAGATTTTGGTGGGTCCCAGAATCCTTGGCATTTCTTGGTTTGCAGCTGCAGCACTCCAATTTCTGACTCCATGTTCACATGGTCTTTGCTATGTGTGTCTCTCTGTGTTTCTGTGTATCCTCTCTTCTACTTATAATACTAGTCATTGGTTTTAGCACTTAATCTAATCCAGTATGACCTCATTTCAATTTGAAGACATCTGTAAATCTCTATTTCCAAATAAGGTCACAATTATAGGTAACAGGAGTTAGAATTGAAACACATCTTTTGGGGGGATATAATTCAATCTGTTATAACCCCCCTCCTCTCCAGCAGCCAGAGAGCAATTGAGGCTCTCCAATGACAATGTTAGTAGTGAGCTTGGAAGTGGACTCTCTAGCCCCAGTCAAGCTTTCAGATGAGGCTCTAGTCCACACTGATAGCTTGACTGTAACCTGATGAGAGAACTTGAGCCAGAGTTGCCTAGATAACCTGTGCACAGATTCCTGACACACAGAAAAAAACTGAATTAGTAAATATGTGTTTTTTTAAGCCACTATATTTTGGCATAATTTGTTATTCAACGATAGATAACTAATACAACCATGTTTGACACATAGATTGTACAATTACTCAAATAATAGGGAATTGACTACCTTAACAACTTGTCTCTCTGACTGTTAGATAGCTGTTAGAAACTCCTAAAGTTGGTCCTCTTTTTCCCATAAGGAGCCTCAAAAAACATACGTAGTCTATTCCCTCTTCTACCTGAAAATACCTAAAATGTTAGAATTCATCAATCGTGACTTCCCACGCTTACTTCATCAAGTCTTCCTCCCTAAATTTTGAGATTCTTCAACATCCTGATTACCTCTTTCAAGAATAGGCATCCGCAAGAACATGGTGCCCAACATGAATACAGCACACTTCTGATGTGTACAGGACTCTGTGCCCCACCCTCCCACGTTCCTTTGTTTTAGGTGCTTCACTGTCGCTACTGCCTATAACTGCATGTTCCTTTAGGGAAACTTAAGGACCCAATGTTGAGTCACTTTGAGTTTACAGTCAAACAAAACCCTATATGCACCCTACAACACACACATTCATAAAGCACAGGTATTTCAATCCTATACTTGAGTCTGGCAAATAGCTTGTTCAGCCCCTCAATAAATGAAACTGATTTTTTTCAAGCCTAGATACAGGTTTATCTCTATTAAATGCCATCAAGGGCCACTGTTCTATTCTTGATTCTATCACCAACACATAAGTTAAGTCCTCTAGCATTGTACAAGCTGCAGATCTAATCATGCCTACCTTCTAAAGATGGAGACAGGACAGAAGAGAAAAAATACCATTTGCATTATGGATTTTCAAAGTGCCTTATTAGTATATTGCAAATTGGGTGATTTGACAGTAATTAAACAGAAAATACATTTCAACTGTAATATTCACTGGCTGACATTAAGAATATAGAACACCCCTTTTCCCATCCTATTTTCTGCTTCAGCTTAGTTTCCATGCATCAGTGGTTTAAATTTAAATAAAATCCTGTTCCCTTACCTATAGTCATCGCTGGACTCCAATTACTCCACAGTTTGTCATCCGCATAGCAAATCTTATTTGTTTTTACTCTCATTCTGACTGTGTTCAAAGTATCATGAAGAACACCAGGGATCCGGAAACAAATTGTACCATCCTTAAAATTAAAAAAAACAACACACACAAGTATATTAATAGTTTATTCTCTTTCTCTGCTTCTGAATCTTAAATATAATTATCGAACAAATTCTGTATATGATTAAGACTTGAATTGTACTCCAAATTATCTGACTTTAACTCCTGGATAAAAATGGACAATAATACAGAACAAAGAAGTTCAAATTTAGGCTATGCTCCCCCGGCCCTATCCCCAACTACTCTTATGTGTTTAAGTCCAAATAGCTAAAGTTGAATTTACTGACCTCCGGGTTTCCCTCAAACTCTGAATGATTACATATGGATTCATCAACCTTGAAAATAAAAAAAAATAAAAATGAGTAAATTGAAAATATTTTAAAAATCACATTTTACATGATTTAACCATTTCTAACAAGGTTTCCTTTATTCCATTAAAAGAAAACCTGCCCTGGTTGGTATGGTTCAGTTGGTTGGGTATCGTCTCATATAAGATGATTGATTATTCTCTCTCATTATTGATATTTCTATTTTTCTCTCTCCCTTCCTCTCTGAAATCAATAAAAAATATTTTTTAAAAAGATGTCTTAAATAGGATAAAAATATTAACCATAAAGAAAACACTTTTTATAAATCTATATTAACATTAAAAATATATTCTATCCTCTATAATAAAAGCCTAACATGCAAATTGAATGTCATTCCAGCACACAAGGTGACTGCCTCTATGTGGTCAAAGATGGCCATCCCCATGTGAACACAAGATGGCTGCCACAAGATGGCCAGCAGGGGAGGGCAGTTGGGAGGAACCAGGCCTGCAAAGGAGGGAATTTAGGGGTGACCAGGCCAGCAGGGTAGGGCAGTTGGGGTGACCATGCCTGCAGAGAAGGGCAGTTAAGAGTGACCAGGCCAGCAGGGGAGGGCAGTTGGGATGACCAGGCCAGCATGGGAGGGCAGTTGGGGGCGACCAGGCCAGCAGGGGAGGGCAGTTAGGGGCAATTAGGTGGGCAAGGGAGCAGTTAAGTGTCGATCAGACTGGCATGGCAGTGGTTAGGGGGTGATCAGGCTAGCAGGCAGAAGCAATTAGGGGCAATCAGGCAGGCAGGCAGGCAAGTGGTTGGGAGCCAGCAGTCCTGGATTGTGAGAGGGATGTCCCAGATTGGAGAGGGTGCAGGCTAGGCTGAGGGACACCACCCTCCCCCCACCATGCTCAAATTTCATGCACCAGGCCTCTAGTTAAGGAAATAAAAAGGTAAGGCATAGAATGAGAGAAGATATTTGTAATTTCTGACAAAAGACTTGCATATATGTATTATATAACATGTATTTACATTTATACATAATACACATATATGTACATACATCCCACAAATTAATAAGGAAAAGATAGACAAGTCAATGAAAAAACTGGCAAAATACTTGAACAGGCATTTCACAATCTGGAACTGCTGGCTCCTAACCACTCACCTGCCTGCTGCCTGATTGCCCCTAACCGTTTCTGCCTGCTAGCCTGATTACCCCCTAACTACTCCCCTGCCAGCCTGATTGATGCTTAACTGCTCCCCTGCTAGCCCAGTTGCCCCCAAATGCCCTCCTCTGCTGTCCTGGTTGCCCCCAACTGCCCTCCCCTGTAGGCCTGGTCACCCCTAACTGCCATCCCTGCTGGCCTGATCACCCACAACTATCCTCCCCTGCCAGCCATCTTCTGGCAGCCATCTTTGACCACATGGAGGCAGCCATCTTGTGTGAGGGCATGAGGGTCAATTTGCATATAACCTCTGTATTATACAGGATATATATAGATATTAGTATATATATTCTAAAGCCAGCAAATCATTGTGTAAATTAAAGGCTTTGGGCTCTTGTTCAAATGTAAATCCTCTTGTGTTATTTATCAGCTGCTTAGATACCTCTATGAGAAAAGAAAAACAAAGGCACAGAGAACCAAGTAGATAGTTTGCAGGGATGGGGGTGGCTAAAGACAAGTCATTCCTTACTTTGTGATTCTGCCATGAGCTACCTCTATCTGACCACATCCCTCATGTGATGGCACAATTCATGTTCCAGCCTACTTCCCTCTTAACTGGAACACCAGGCAAAATAATTCCTCAAATGTCTTGCAAAAAGAAAAAAAAGAAAAAAGGTCTAAACAGCAGAACTCAAGATCAGAGAGCACACAAAAGCTGATGATATTCTAGGAGAGGAAGCAGCTGCTGACCATCTGTTAGGAGAAAGTACATTACACTCAAGTGTATAAACAGGGTTATAATTCCATATAGACTATAGATCTGACTTAGATGAATAAGTTCCATATATGTGTGTTCTCTTCAGAAGTTCATAAAAATAAAGTAATTTAATTCAACAAAAATGTGTTAAGTGATGATTACACAAATGGTGTTATACCAAGTATTCTTTGTTAAAGTTTAATACATGGAGACCAACTTTTGAAGTCATACTTATTAGCTGTATGGCCTGTAATATGTTACTTAACTTCTCTGAGCCTTAGTTTCCCTATAAAATGTAAACTACTTCATGAATTATTATAAACCACTGTATGAGAAGTACACAGAAGAGTATATCTGTAGCATATCATATAAACACTTAATAATTAATGACTGTTAGTATTAAGCTAAAGTATTGATGTGATTCACAGTGTTTAAGAACAAATACTTAGAACTTGGATTTTTGCTGAAATCTTGACTCTACCACTTTTTCTAGAAATGTGATCTCAGTAGTAACGTCTGAGACTGAGTTTTCTCATCTGTAAAATGAAGAGGGGGACAGGACCTACCTATATCCTTGGGGTTACTCTGAGGACTTAATGAGACAATTCAGATAAAATCCTTATTAAAATACCTAGTGCATATTAATTGCTCAATACATGTTAGCTGCTATTAATAGCAGGAACAGCACAAAGTAAACAACACCTAACTCCTTCCTACAGCAGCTTATATTTTTAGTGGAGAGAACAGGTCTACGCAGGTGATCAGAGTAACTATCAAGACATAATTCAGTGCTAAATTAATAATACAAGCAGAATACAAGTGTATTCTGGATTTGAGAGGAGAGCAGTAAAGGCTGGAGAAAGCAATTATATTTCAGTTTTTGGTAGGTCACTTAGTTGGAAATGCAAGCCGCACCCTCTCCCCACTTGGAAGCCCTCTGCCTTTTCCCTTTGCAGTATTGTATGGGGACATCAGTTTCTATACCAGATCATGGGTATTTTATTTCAGAAATAGATTCATCTACAAATGCCCAGAAGAGCTCTGCTCAGCTGTGGACCTGGTCATTCCCTTTGGAGTTATTAACCTGTCAACACTGGCATATTTTAGTAAGTAGAAATGCTCCTCAAGTTATGATGGCGTTACATCCCAATAAACACCTCATATGTTGAAAATATCCAAAGTAAAAAATGCACTTGATACATCTAACGTACTGAACACCATAGCTTAGCCTAAACTATATTAAACATTCTCAGAATACTTACATGACCTACAGTGGGGCAAAATTATCTAACAAAAGCCTTTCCTATATAATAAAAGGGTATTATGCAAATCGACTGAACAGTGGAATGACCAGAATGCCCACGGCCCCTCAGGGGTGTGGGACCAGCCAGCAAACCATCCACAGCCCCTCTCCCCAGCCAGCCCCGCCCATGACCCCTCACCCCAGCCACCCACCCCTCAGGGCAGGATGGCTGACCAGTGCACGAATTCATGCACTGGCCTCTAGTTTTATAATAAACTGTTGAATATCTCATATAATTTATTAAATACTGTACCAAAAGTGAAAAACAATGGATATATGGATAGTTGTCATTAATGTACACCGTTAAAAGCACAGTGGGCCTGAAGAATGTTTGAAGCATTGAACTAAAATTAATTACACATGAGAGTGTATTGTACTGCATATCACTAGTCCAGGAAAAGATCAAAATTCAAACTTTGAAGTACAGTTGCTAGCAAATGTGTTATCATTTTTTTGTGCCATCGTTAAGTCAAACCATGGTAAGTCTGTACTTTGAGACTCCCCTGAGGAGCTAAAACAATTGAACCAAGGAATTTGTCCACGTGTGCTGGGCTCCTTTAAAAGCCAATACAAAAAACTTGGTTTCGAACCTCTAAAACTCAAATGCACAGGGCCAGGGCAGGTGGCACACAACTGAGTCCCTGTGGTCTTGAGGTGCCACCTAATAGAAACTACACTCTTCAGGCACCACAGTTTTAAATCTAGATAAAAAATTCAAATTAAAAAGACAAACAAAACTCCACTTTGTGGCCCAAACAAAAATGTCTGTGTCCCAATTTGTGACTAATGTCTTAAGGTTATGCCACATGATGTTATGCCCAGTGTCCCACAGGGACCACTAATTAGCATATTTTGTACCAGATTCTGAATAATAAAACTGTATTTAATCCAACCAATACTAACTACTCAAATTTGAATACTTTAGTTGCCACAAACTCTAAGAAAACTGAATGGCCATACCAGAGCCTCCAAGTATCTACCTGATCCAGAGTTCATTCTATTTTTCACACATGCCACACTCATTCCTTCCTCAGGCTTTGTATTTGCTGTCCCTTCCAACCTCAGATATTCACATGGCTAGCTCCTGCTCATCATTCTGGTCTCATCTCAAATGTCACCACTTTGAATTATTATCCTACCTACTATTCCCTCAAGCCCTCCCATCACGCTACTATATCATCCCATTTAATTTTCTTCAAAGTATCCATTCCCTGAAATTAGCTTATTCAATTACATATTTATCTTATATTAGGTAAGCTTCATGGAAAAAAGTAATTTTGCATCAGGTGTCATATACACAAAAATAGTGTATGGCACATAGTAGATAATAAAATTTTTGAAATATGTTTTTATTGATTTTTAGAGAGTGAGGAAGGAAGAGGGAGGGAAAAACATTGATGTGAAGGAGAAACATTGATCAGCTGCCTCCTGCACACACCCCAACGAGGTTCAAGTCCACAACCTGGGCATGTGCCCTGACCAGGAATGCAATGCACAGGACGATGCTCAACCAACTGAGCCATGGACCAGAGCTAATAAAATTTTTTGAGCAAATGAATTAATATATGGCGTGAATCTTGCAGTCAATGCTATCATAAACCCTCAAACCTTCCACCAACCTATTTCAGACAAGGAATTATCATCATAATAATTATGTGACAAATCTAAGAACTAAATTTCATTGATGTTTCAATGTGTTATACTATAAGAAATTCAAGTGAAAGAAAAATATCCAAATAAAAACACAATCTAGAAAACACTTACGGTTAAACTAAAATGCGTCTCAGTTTGGCTGTTATTGACTTTTACTTGATAAGATAAACAAGCGCTAGAAAAAGGCTGTGGATTCTTCCCTACCACGTATAAGTCACCATGTTGAAAGAAGAGCCTTTTAATATGTGGAGGATCAGGTTGCACTGAAAGAGAAATAGAAGAATACAAATTAGCTTCCAGTGTTTACTTTGATGAGATACCTATGTGGTAACTGATAACAAAAGTCACAAAGTTAAATCAAAATAGGGCTGATACTTTCAATGGCCTTCCATGATCAGACATACTAGTACAGCGGTCGGCAAGCTCATTAGTCAACAGAGCCAAATATCAACAGTACAATGATTGAAATTTCTTTTGAGAGCCAAATTTTTAAAACTTAAACTACTTCTAACACCACTTCTTCAAAATAGACTTACCCAGGCTGTGGTATTTTGTGGAAGAGCCACACTCGTCAAAGAGCCGCATGTGGCTCGCGAGCCACAGTTTGTCGATCATGGGACTAGTACAGTTCTAGATTTCTGATTAGCCATGATTAATGAAGGAATGTTATGCTAAATTGCCTAGTAATTGATTTAAGGAACATCTTTGGGTGTCTAGCAGATGGCATGAACTCTGATATGCATCTGGTTAGAATATGGCAAGGGTATAATCAGGATATCCAGCTGCATCATAAAGAAAAGAACTTTCTGGTCCAGATGTGCCTCCACCTAATGGGTAACAGGGGCACCAAGTGCAAGGAGTTTCCCCAGCTGTTACCCATTTTGCCAATCAAAGACCATAATTAAACATTAGCTTAGTCTTTCACACATGCTACAACAATGATGAACCTCATGGACATTATGCTAAGTGAAATAAGCCCATCACTGAAGAACAACTACTATATGATTCCATTTAGGAAGTATCCAAAGTAGTCATAATCATAGCAACAGAAAGTAAGAAGGTGGTCACCAATGAAGCATCCATCTTACATAAAAAACTACAGTTTGAATTTTTAAAATATATTTTATTGATTTTTAGAGAGAGAAAAGGGGGGGGGGAGAGAGAGTCAGAAACATCTATCAGCTGCCACAACCAAGGTACATGCCCTTGATCAGAATCGAACCTGAGACCTTTCAGTCTGCAGGCCAATGCTCTATCCACTGAGCCAAACCGGTTTTGGCTGCTGTTTGAAATTTTAACCCTGCTATTTTGGCTTCTGTAAACATTTGCTTGTTTAAATGATAAGGAAAACAAGACTACTCCCATTCCAGAGAGGCCGTGGACTATGCCCCAGACAGAGTTGTCAGTGCTGGCACCAGGCCAGGCCTTGAGATATGGTCTCATAGCCCCTTCCCAGCACGTAGGCCTTCTTTCCCAGAAGCCGCAGAAGTCTCATTCCAATTTTGGGAGACAAAAGAACTAGGAAAAGTATAAATAGAAAAGGTTTCCTCCATGGGGAGGGGGACAGAATTTAGAAGGCATATTTTTCTCTGGCCCTGCCCTTAGTAAAATGTAATTCCCTTTCTCTAAGCATGGCTTGTTTTTTTTTCTGGTCTTCTGTAACACCAAGAGCGGGGGGTGAGGGAGATGAGAGGGAATTTGTGTTTTGGGGCATTGAGTTTCAGTTTTATAAGATAAAAGTTCTTGAGATCTGATGCACAATAATGTGAATATATTTAACTGCTGAACAGTAGTACACTTAGAAATGGTTAAGATGATAAATTTAATGTTAAGTGATTATAACCAACCACAATGTAAAATAAATAAGAAAATTAGCTTAGTCAATTCAGTTTTTTGGGAGTCAGCTATGCATACCACACAACAGAACAGAATGAATAATTAACAAAAAATCTGAAGATGTCACCTTCTAGCTGAGACATATCTCCCTTTATGTCACCACTAATCTCTAGGAAGAAAACTAGCAAAATGAGCTTTAAAAGGTCCATCGAGGACAACCTGCCAAGCAAGGAAGAGGACAAACAAGGGCTTTGCTTTAGATTATCCAACTTGGCATGTTACCTCAACTTCACTCCCTGGACCTACAAACTAAGCTTCCTTTGGTTCACTATTAGAATTCACTTCCCTGAGTACCTGAAAGAGCAAATAGTGTTCTGCTCACAAACTTCGGCACTTTTGTCAATTTATGATTATTTGCCTACACATTTTCTATATACCACTTAGCCAGTATATGAACTCCTTGTTGGGGTATTGCAAGATATAAACAAACATAATGCTTACAGTAGTCTGCTTTAGAGATTTACGAAACATTTTTATACACTTCACATTCATTTGAACCTTCTACAGTTGACCCTTGAACAACAGAGGGTTAAGAAAATCACTGTCACCCTAGTCAAAAATCTGCATATAACTTTTGACTCCCTAAAAACTTAATAACCTACTATTAACTAGAAGCCTTCTCAATAATATACAGTTGAGTAATGCATATTTGTATTTTTATATGTATTTTATACTGTATTGTTATAATAAAATAAGCTAGAGAAAATATTATTAAGGAAATCCTAAGAAAAATACATTTACAATACTGGACAGATTGAAAAAAAAATACACATATAAGTGGACCCATACAGTTCAAACCCATGCTGTTCAAGGGTCAGATGTATTTACAATTTTTTGAGATCAAGAAGAACAATGCAACCCATTTTATAGATGAGGAAACACTTTAATAGAATGTACTAGTATATACATATATCTTTTCCAAAGTGAAGAAGCTAGCACCTCAAGCAAATATTTTATTTTCAAGTGGGAGGCTCTTTCTAATAGGCTGATACTCAGCTGCACTGGTTGCTCTCATTGATCAATGCCGGACCCAGAATGTTAGATAATTTGGATATCACCCCTGATCATTCTACCTCCAGTCTAAGCTTTAAAAAAAAACACTATAAAATAGATTGTTCAGGAACTATATTCAATCAAAGTTATTCTGTAGCACTACCCTGACAAGTATTATAAGTAAAAGAGAACTGATCTTAAGAGTCAGAGGGCCTGGGTTCCAATCGTGGTTCTATAACTAACTGCTTGCTGTCTGTCCCAGTGTACTCATAAGTGAATAAGGAGAAAACATGTGCATAGGTACTAAATAAAATAATTTCTAAGCTTACTTCTTTAAAAAAAGATAAAATAGAAATATATAAACATAGTCTTTTTTCTGGTAAGATCTTAAAAAGATAATCTGTTTCCATTATATGTACTGACTATTCAAAAGACATTAACACTTTTATCCACGCTGTCATAGAGGTTTTTGAAAACTTACCATGAGAAGTTAAAGGCACTATATGAAAGGATGGTCTAATTTTTCCTGCATTATCCTTGACCATCACCTGAACATTGTCTTGGTCGAAACTGGGATCCTTTATTTTAGTAGTCAGAATAAAAGAACAAGTAATGTGTTGACTTTCTCTATAGATGTTTTCACATTGACGAATTTTTCCCAGGCTGCTGTGCCTACAAGGTAAAATAAGACAATCTTCTGCATTATTTTTCACAAGGAACTCAAGAAACAAAGGCAGACATTGTTGGGTTTTGTTTTGTTTTGAATGACTTAAGATGTCCATGAAAAGCAGTATTTGCAATATGCAAGATAGCTTTTTCTAAAACGATACTTTACTTGGCTCCATTTCATACTCTAAGAGAGCAAATGTTCCTATAGCTATGGAAACTACAGGAGTATTGGTTCTTTTTCTAATTCTGAATACGAGGCGTTATGAGGGCAGCTTGAAAATATCCCATCTGCTGAATTCTATGGTTCTCCTCTGGTCCCACGTTCTGCTCCCTCCTTGTTTTCTTGTCTTGTTCCTCTCCCTTTTGATCTTCTCAGCGGGTTCCCATTCAGTTAATAGCCCTCTGCACATCCCTCTCTATTTCTTAGTCCCACATCTGTTCAGCCCAAGCCTATAATTTCCATCCCTTGATTAGAATTTCTATGCTAGGGATGCCTAGTCCTAACCTTTCACCTTGAATCCAGTCCCAGACTTCCAAATGCTCCATTCTAGTATTCCACTCTTGACTCAAATTCAATGACCAAAACATATGTCCCTTTTTCCCTGACAAATTGCCTTTCCTTCTAATGTTCCAAATTTCCACCATCTGAGCTCATTTCCTCTGGGCTCCTCAATTTCAGCCTTTGAAATTCTGTTTTACCCTTCCTTTCCCTATATTCTACCACTAAATTCTGTTATTTCTTTCTTTGCAAAGCTTGAATTCTCTCCTGTGTTATTTCTATTGGCCCCACCCACTTTCATGTCCTACCACTTCAGGCTTCACGTCTTCTCTAGACTTACCTCTGGGACCTTCATTATTAGTTCCCTCCAATCACTGCCAGATCTATGTTCCAGAATACACTGGCTTTCTAAGTGTCTTATTTCACTATGTGGCTTTAACTGCCTTCCATAATGAGTACTGCTGGTATATTACTTCCCATTTCAAAAACCTCTACATATACCTTTTCTCAATGATCATCAGCACCTAGCACAATACAAGCACAAAGAATGTGCTCACTATACGTTTTCGTCTATGCTATCAAAGGATTCTGTTTTGTAGTAAGTGGCAGAAGAGAGTTGGCTTCACATCATCAGCCACAATGGGAGCTGTGCAAAGATTCTGCAGAAAAGGGAAGCAGTTTAAATAATGGACTAAGAGTGAAGAATCCAAAACCCTTGACCTGTCATCACAGAATCATCTGCAGTCATTTAAAATGTAGATTTCTTAAACCCTCTCTCAGATGATCCTATTTAGAAGTCTTTGACCAGGGCCTAGGGATCAGCATTTTAACAGAAATTCCCCAGGGGATTCTACTGCAAATCAGGATTTATAAAACTAAGACCTACTCCCATAAATACAGTCAACTGATCTTTAACAAAGGAGCAAAGGCAATACCAAGGAGCAAAACTAGTCTTTTCAACAAACGGTGCCAGAACAGCTAGACATCCGCATGCAAAAAATAAAAATAAAAAATAAATCTAGTCACAATCCTTATACCCTTCACAAAACTAAACTCACAACGGGTCACAGACTTAAATGTAAAATGTACAACTATAAAACTTCTATGTAATAACATAGAATAAAACCTAAATGAAATTAGGTATGATAATGACTTTTTTAGACACAACACCAAAGGTATGATCTATAAAAGAAATAATAATAAGCTAAACTTCATTAAAATTAAAAACTTCTGCTTTGCAAGAAAATATCAAGAAAATAAGAAAACAAGCCACAGAATGCAAGAAAATATTTGCAAAAGGCACATCTGTTAAAGGACTAGTATCCAAAAAATACACAAAGAACTCTAAAAACTCAACAACAAAAAACAAATAACCCAACTAAAAATGGGCCAAAGACCCTCACAGACATCTCACCAAAGATATACCCGTATTTCCCCGAAAATAAGACATCTTCTGAAAATAAAACCTACTTTCAGGTTTCCTTCTGAGTGAACTATAAGGCATCCCCCCGAAAATAAGGCCTATCTCCAGACTCTTGATATTGCAATAAACAAGCCATTCAAAGACAATTTGCGCATGGAAATTAATGACTACATTGAAAATAGAATTCAGAGCCGAAACCCGTTTGGCTCAGTGGATAGAGTGTCGGTCTGTGGACTGGGGGGTCCCGGATTTGTTTCTGGTCAGGGGCATGTACCTTGGTTGCGGGCACATCCCCGATGGGGGATGTGCGGGAGGCAGCTGGTCGATGTTTCTCTCTCATCGACGTTTCTAGCTCTCTATTTCTCTCCCTCTTTGTAAAAAAATCAATAAAATATATTTAAAAAAGAAAAAGAAAATAGAATGGAGAGAAATCAGCGTGGAAAGTTTGAGAAACCTAAACTGCAAGAAGTTGTGACTTGGGTGAAGAATTCATGGGAGAAAATCACTGACAGTTGCATTGCAAATGCACTGTGAGCAGGCTACCTTGACAAGAAGTACTTATTTAAAGACAGTGCTATTGCTAAACATGAAAGATTTGGTCCACTGATTCTGAAAGAAATGGAGTCACAAGAAATTCACCAGGAAATTCAGGAATTGGATTGTTATGATAATGTTCCAGAAGTTGATGACATGATTGTCATTGAATAAATGAGTAAATTCTTGATACTGTAGATTCAGTTTGTCTGGTTTGTGTTGACAACTACCGTACTACTGTACCGTATACAGGTAATAAATTTCCTTTATTTTCATTTAACAATAAATATGTACCGTATTCTTCTTCATAGAAAAATAAGACATCCCCTGAAAATAAGACCTAGCGCATCTTTGGCAGCAAAAATTAATATAAGACACTGTCTTATTTTCAGGGTAATAGGATACACATGATAAGTAGGCACATGAAAAGATGCTCTACATCAGGAAAATGCAAATTAAAGCAACAATATAACACTAAACACCTATCAAAATGGCCAAATCCAGAATGCTGGTGACACCAAAGGCTTGTAAGAATGTGGAGCAACAGGAACTTTCATTCATTGCTTGTGGGAATGAAAAAATGGTCACTTTGGAAGAGAATTTAGAAGTTACTTTAATAAGTGAACATACTCTTAACATACAATCCAGCAATCACACTCTAGTACTTAAACAAGTTGGAAACTTATGCCACATAAAATCCTGCATACACCATTCATAGCTAGAGTTGGAAAGCTACCAATATGTCAAGGTAGCAGGCTTGATCCCTGGTAGAGACCTGCAGGAGGCAATGATCAATATTTCTCTCTTATTGATGTTTCTATCTCTCTCTCCCTCTCCGTTCATCTCTCTGAAATCAATAAAAACATGAAAAGTTATATCTCCACAAATTCTGCATATAACATTCATTTTTAGAGTTTGAAAGCAACCAAAATGTCCTTCAGTAGGTGAATGGATAAACTGTGGTACACCCAGAAAATGAAACATTATTTAGCCCTAAAAAGAAATGAGCTATCAAGCCATGAAAAGACATGGAAGAACCTTAAATTCATATTACTAAGTAAAAGAAGCCAGCCTGAAAAGACTAGATACTGTATGACTCTAACCATATGACATTCTGGGAAAAGGCAAAACTATGGAGACTATAAAAAGATCACTGTTTGTCAGAGGTTGGGAGAAGAGATGAAAAGGCAGAGAATAAAGAATTTTAGGGCAAGGAAAATACTCTGCATAATACTATAATCATGGATGCATGTTATTGTACATGCATCCAAACACATAACATATATAACAGCAAGAGTGACTCCTAAGACAGCCTAATACCAGGAATGCTCAGGGCCTACTCAAGAAGGCAAATAATCCTTTCCACTAATACACACAGGGTAAAATAACATTATTGATAGAGTGTCAAGTTTGATAGTTGAATAGTAGTCAATTTCTCAGAGATAATTAAATTGGCTAATTGAAATAAGCGAATATTCTAGAAAAATTGATTATACTGTACAAAAAGCTGTTCCTAAAGTGTTAACAAAATTCTTATTGGCAGCTCATCTCATGGTAAAATTGCATAACATGTAATGAACGTAAAGCAGTCATATTTTAGAGCAAATAATTAAAATGTAAAAGCTATCAAGACTACATCATAAAATTTCCAAAAGCCTCCTAATATTTAAATTAGAAAAGGGGTTGATAGATAGTGGAAAAAATAACATGTAAGGAAAAATATCCTGCAAGTAAATTACAACTAGAAAATTTGTACTTTAGAAAATTAACTTTAATTTGAAATGCTCACAGCAAGATACCCATGAAAAACCAACAGGGTGTCAAAACGAGCCAGAGGAAAATCATTTGGGCAAAAAAAAAAAGAAAGAAAGAAAAAGGATCCCAAGTCAAATTTATAGAAAATATCCCTTTATTAACTTTTGGTTGAGAATATGTTTGTGTATTTTCAGAAAACAACTCCGAGACCATGTGGATTCCTGCAACAGAGAGGAATTGACAGGAGTGCCCCAGCCATCAAGACAGAAGAAAAACAATTCAGAGATGGAAGACACTGACTACGCCTTGCCATACTAGCACACAGCAGCTGTGCATCGCTGAAGGATGCCCAGGACCAAACCAAAGATGGTTGGACCTGCATCAACACCATTTGTCCACCAACCAGATCTGAAATACCATGGCTGACATGTACACATAAGGAACTGTTTGACATTGAAATTGGTATTCAAAAGAACTGTAGAGGGCCGCCTGGGAAGGCACATGGGCAATTATTTATTTATTTATTTATTTAGGAAAATTTTAAAATGAAAACTGCCCATGTGTCTTCCCAGGCAGCCCTCTACAAAGAACTGTTGGCCCAGAAAGGAACTCACTACAGACTGATTAATTTGCATCTCAGCATAACCATTATGGCTTGTCTCAGTTCTGGTTCTTATAAGGGAATTCCTTGTATCACATGATCTAACGCATCTAGGGGGAATAATGAACAACATAAATTGATGAGCAGAAACAGACCTCGAGACAGAGAAGCAGCGATCAGACTGTCAAACCTCAGATGGAAAGTAGAGGAAAGGCGGGGGCAAAGGGGAGAGATCAACCAAAGGACTTGTGTGCATGCATATAAGCCTAACCAGTGGTCATGGACAACAGGGGGTGGGCATACGTGGGGAGGGGTTTGGGATGGGAATGGGGGGATAAGGACAATTATGTGATACCATAATCAATAAAGAAATTTTTTTTTTAAAGTGACTCCTAAAATAAACTATGGATTTTGGGTGATGATGTGTCAAAGTAGGTTCATCATTGGTAACAAATGTTCCACTCTGGTCAGGGATATTGATAATAGAGGAGTCTGTGCATGTGTAGGGGTAGAGGTTATGTGGGAAATTTCTGTATCTTCCTCTCAATTTTGTTGTAAACCTAAAACTGCTCCAAGAAAATAAGGTCTTAAAAAAAGAAAAGTTCAGATCTAATATATTTAATCCTTCAAAGGCTGTGCAAAGAAATGCTTCAATATAAAAAATGCTCTTGACCCTTAAGAAATAGTATATAAGGCTTTGCTCCTAATTGTAGGCCCCAGTGGTTCATGAATGAAAACAGTCTTTTAAAAACTCACTGCCTTGGTTAGTTTTTAGAACAGACAGCCCTGGAGTGTTTTCTACAGACAGCCAGAAACAGAAACCAAGATACTAATGACATTTTTGTTTCATGACTAAAGAAAACTATGTAGAAAGTTATTTTTTTGTTTGTTTCAAATAATGAAAGGAACCCTTCTAATGGGCAATCTTTGAGATTCCTTTTTCAGTTTTGTACCCTGAGTATTTCACATATTCTCATGGACCCCAGATATAAAATTTATTTTTTGTTGTAATTTAGAAAAAATAAGAAAAAGAGAAATAATGTTTTTGTTGATTTTATAGAGAGAGGAAGGGAAAAGGACAGAGAAACATTAATAAAAACATTGATTGGCTGCCTCCTACACTCCCCCTACTGGGAATTGAACTCGAAACCGGGCATGTGCCCCAACTGGGAATTGACTCAGTGACCTCTTGGTTCATGAGTCAATGCTCAACCACTGAGCCACACTGGCTGGGCAATATTTTTTAATAGACAATTTTGGGGGGCTTCCTGTGAAAGATTATATGATAACTAAGACAGAAGGCATTAGCTGCTTCATGTTAAAAATTCACACACTGGCCCAGCCTGTGTGGCTCAGTTGTTGAGCATCATCTCATGCACCAGGAGGTTACAGTCCGGTCCCTGGTAGGGGGCATGAAGGAAGTGATCAATGTTTGTTTCTCATTGATGTTTCTGTCTCTCTCACCCTCTCCCTTCCTTTCTCTGAAATCAATAAAAACATATTTTTTAAAATCTCTAAAATTCACACACTGAAATCCTCCACAGACTTGCACTGCAAACATATGAAGGGAATGGACAAATGAAAGACTATTTCCTCAACTCTGGAGATGATTAATGTGGTAAGAAATTCCCTAAAATTCACTGACATGGCTAGTCTGGAGCAATTAAGGTCAGGCTCCTTCAATGCCAGACTCTCTCTCCAGAGTCACAAGTGACAGCCCTGGGGCTTCAAAATGACACTATATTTTTTTATTGGGGATTAGAGAAACAGTCTGAGAGTTTTACATGATTTAAACTGAAACCTAAATCAATTTCAAATGCTTGGTAAGGAATAAGCCATATGTTTCTCTTTCTTTTGTGATTCTGATTGGAAGAATCTCTCTAGGGGAGAGCAGAAGAGGAGGAAGTAGGTGCTATTCCTTTAAGATGGGGGAAAGAGGCCAGCAATGTGTACTGGCTATATCTGCAAGGGAGTGGGTTGAATAATAAAATACAATATAGCTATCGTGTATGGAGTGCTTAATCTATACATGTTAGGGGTTAGACATGGCTCTAAACACTTTTCATACAATAGTGACCCTTACAACAACCTTAAGAAGTAGTACTATTATTACTATTTCCATTTTACAGTTTACAAAATTGAGGCTCAGAGAGAAGGCACTTGCCCCAAATTACACTTGCTAGTTAGAAAGAGAGCCAAGATTTGAACCCAGGGAGGGTGGCTCCAGAAAAGAATAAGTTATGGAATGGTGAGGGTAGAAGATATAGAATCTGTATCAGCAATGGCCAACAAAATTTTCTGGAGTTATGGAAATGTTTGATATCTGAACTATCTAATACAGGAACCACCAGCCACGTGTGAAATTGGCTAGTAAGATTAAACAATGACATTTTAATTTGCTTTAATTTTACTTAACTTAAATTAAAATGCAAATAATTGCATGTGGCTAGTGGCTCCTGTGTTGGACAGTGCAGGTCTTTATTATAACAAGAGTCCATGCTAATGACCAACTCCAGGAATGTGTATGACAAGAAGTGCCATCCCTTATCCCTGCCCCATTGGGTGCAAGGAACCATCACTCTCTTGGGATGACTTCTTGAGCCACATCCAATGATGGTAGATTGTGGTTTGCAGGCTGAAAGGCAACCCAAGCACCGTCTGTTATCAGCTTTGGCAGGACTATGCATCAACCTGGAAGAAGATTGGTTGTTCCAGTCTTTTGTAATTTATTCACCCAGGAGGGCAATCATTTCACAATTTGCTTTAAGAAGTGGTTGTGCTAGTATATTGCCCAAGACACTTCCCTATTTTTCTTGTAAGAAATCCAAGGACTACATCACCATCTACCTCCAGTGTCACCCCAATTCCTATATCTGGGTTACTTTGCTGGATAGTCTTGCTATGGAATAACATAGTTTTAAGGCAGCTTCCATTCCTTTCCCTGCCCCCTCTATAGACACAGATTCTTTAAAGATCTTCCCTGTGATTATACCAATACTGATTCCAGGGAAAGCAAGAGAAGTTAATAGCGAAATAAACAAAGGATGTTACCAACTCTTGAGAGCTCTTAAAAGCTTGTAATAACAGCTCTTTCCAGACTTCACTGCAACATCAACAGAGCCAGGCTATTCCTTTTAAGACTTAGTTCTACGGTCCTTTCACTAGCAATTCTTTAGGGAATCAAATCTACTCAATCCTCCTTTTAGCCCCAAACCATAATGTTCCTAAGTTGTTTATCCCTCCTAAACTCTCCCCCCAGTTCCGAATGTTCTCTCGCTTTAGTTCCTACCAAACATTCAAACTTATATATGGAGCATGCACCTACCATGTGTCAGGCACAAGACACAGTCCTTGCTTCTCAAGGGAGACTGCAGTCTGGGGAGGGCTACCACTAAGTAAACAGGAAACTACAACACAATGTGCTGAGTACTATGGCATGAGAAAGTGCAAAGTACCATGGGATACAACTATGATGGGGCACATAAAGCTAGACTTCAGAGGTCAAGAAAGGCTTTGTGGAGAGGAAGTAATGAGCCAAGATAAGAACAAAGAAGAGTTTAAGCTATAGGAGCAAAGAGTCTATGGCCATACCACCCTGAACACGCCCAATCTCGTCTGATCTCGGAAGCTAAGCAGGGTCGGGCCTGGTTAGTACTTGGATGGGAGGCATGTATCTTATCTCAGCTGCCTATTCAGTGCTTTACCCGCAATGTGTGCTAATTAAAGTCTTACTGAATTAAATTGATTAACCTGGTCCTTTCTTCCTTGTCCTGTTGCTAATAATTCTAACTTTTAAGGGAAAGAAAATTATTAAATATGAATTTAGAAATTTAACAGATTTTGTAGCTGTAGTCATAAATATCAAATATAAGTTATTTTGTGGGGAGCTAAATTATTTGTAATCCTGGGCATGATACAATTTTCCCTTTTAAAGTTAGACACCAAAGACTCATACATTGCTGGTGGGAATGAAAAATAGTACAGATACTCTAGAAAATAGTTTGGCAAATTGTTATAAATCTAAATATGCAATTACTGTAAGACCTAACAACTGTATTCTTGGGCATTTATTCCAGAGAATGACATGTTATGTTCACAAATATTCACAGGAGCTTCATTCATAACCAAAAAATTAGAAACAACCAAGATATCCTCCAGTAAATTAATGCTTAAACAAACTGGTACATCCATATCATGCACTACTATTCAGCAATAAAAAGGAATAAATGAACTATTAATACACACAACACACAACAACTTGGATACCATGCCTAGGTGTTTTTTTTAAAAGCCTCTAACAGTTATATGTTGTATGATTCCATTCCAGTAACATTCTTAAAATGACAAAATTATAGACATGAACAGAGGTTAGAAACTTGAGGGAAAGGTGTAGAGGGGGAGGGGATGCAGAACAGAGGTGGATATGGCTATAAAAGGGAAACTTTAGGAATCCTTGTGGTAATGGAACCGTTCTATTTCAATACATGTGATAAAATTGCATAGGTTTACACAAACACTCACATGAGTGCATTTAATACTGGTAAATATTGAATGAGTCCAGTGGACTTGTACCGATGTCAATTTTCTGGTTTTGATTTCATACTCTAGTTATACAGGATATTACCATTGGGAGAAGCTGGGTGAAGGAAATGCAGGATCTCTTTGTGCATTTTTACAACATCCTGTGGATCTATAATTATTTTTTTAAAGTTTTTTCAAAGTAGCCACCAAAATCAAATGCATTTTTTCATTAAAGCAAACTGCCCATCTCCTGGGGTGTGCCGAAAAGAATTAGCTGCTGTTGTTTTTTTGTTGTTGTTTTTAATACTAAGTTAGATCCAAAGGCTCCCAACATCATCACAATCAGTCCTTCTCCTATAAGTCTCCTGTCCATACTTACCAGTAGTAGAGAGTATAGTTAGTGTCAGGACTTGTGTTCCTTCCTGGGAGCCAAGTGCACTTCATGTAGCTCAGGTTGTGCCAAACACATTGTAGCTCAGTCACAGCCGACTCAGGATCGCCTAGAATACCCAGCCAAAAGTTTAGGACCTTTCTTTCCTTGTAAGGATTTTTCTTTTCTTTTCTTTTCCAGACTAGCCAATAAACAAAAGATATCTTTTCAACAAATGGTGCCAGAACAGCAGACGTCCACATGTAAAAAAAATGGGACATGGGAATGGTGGGGGTGAAGCATGCTGCTTTATCCAAATCTAAAATGCTTACAACTTTCTTACCTCCCGATACTAAGAAAATACCTTTATTATCATTATATAGGATATATATATCTTATATCCCTAACTGGAGAGTGGAAAGGTCACATAATATTTTCATAATAAGAAATGACTACAGAATTCCTAAATTAATGTGAAAATATAAACAACCTATCTACATTCTTTACTTTTTGCACAAAATTGCTTAATTTCATATAACTTATTTACCACACTTGAATCCAAAATTAAATTTGTTTACTTCTTATAAACAGTTTCATTTTTAAAAAATAATATTGAGTTTCTCTGAAATTATTCAAAGAAATATGTTATCTATTCTCAAGATAAATTCCAAAAAGGAGTATTAAAAATATATTTATCTTAGCAGCAGCATCAGAATATTTTTTATTGTCATGAATTTGTGTGTCATCCTTGTGCAGAAGCCATGTTAATCTTCTCTGTATCATTGCATTTTTACACATGCTGCCAAAGTGAGCACTATCTATCTTTAAAAACAAATAAGTTTAGCTCAGCCAGCATGGCTCAGTGGTTGAGCACTGACCTGTGAACCAGGAGGTGATGGTTTGATTCCTGGCCAGGACTCACATCAATGATTCTCTCTTCCACTCTCTCTTCCTCTTTGAAATCAATAAAAATATATATTTTTTAAAAAAACACAAAAGTTTAGCCCTGGCTGGTTAAAGTATCCCAAGTGGGTGTGTACGGGAGGCAACCAAAGAAGTTTCTCTCTCAAATCAATGTCTGTCTGTCTGTCTCTCTCTATCTCTATCTCTATCTCTATCTCTATCTCTATCTCTATCTCTATCTCTATTTCTCTCTCCCATTCCCTCCTGGCCTTACACTCTCTTTAAAAATCAAATGAAAAATACCCTTGGGTGAGGATTTACAAAAAAAAAAGTTTACTGGGTTATAATTTACCTTCTTATCTTTTGATTAATACTGACACATATTGTTTTAAACACTAAACATTCTCCTTGAACTAATTCAGAGAAAGGTATGCATAACATAATTCTTAGTATCTCCCTATTGTATGTTATGACTTTAAGGGCCTTAAAATCTTTACGATCTGAGATTTCTACTGTTAACATTTTTTTTTTTTAGTTGAAGCATCAAGTTTTTATATTAAATACCTCTGTTTAAAATGCAAACCTCTTATCTCTCAGGGATTCTTAAAGTAGTACTATACTAAGCCATCAACCATTTTACTGTCAAAATACAATTTAAGTTTTTTTTTTCAGATTATTTATTAAACTCCTAAAGAAATGAGAATAGGGAAAGTAAGTTGTTTTAAACCATGCTCCCAGCCTCCTAGCAGTACCAAACTTTTTAATTTTATAAATATTACTAGATACCCAGTGCATGAAATTCATGCAAAGGGGTAGGGGGATCCCCTCAGCCCAGCCTGCACCCTCTCCAATCCAGGACCCCTTGGGGAATGTCTGACTGTCAGTTTAGGCCTAATCCTGGGGATCAAGCCTAAAACGGCAGTCGGATATCCCTCTCACAATCCTGGACCGCTGGCTCCTAATCACTCAGCTGCCTGCCTGCCTGATCACCCTTAACTGTCCCCTCCCTGCCAACCTTGTCGTTCCTAACTGCCCCCCCTTTGCCTGTTCCCCCTTACTGGCCCCCCTGCCAGCCTGGTCTCCCCCAACTGCCCCCCCCTGCCCACCTGGTCACCCCTAACAGACCCCCCTGCCAACCTGGTTACCCCCAACTGCCCCACCACCGACCTAGTCACCCCTCACTTCCCCCCCTGCCAGCCTAATTGTCCCTAACAGCCCCGCTGCCAGCCTGGTCACCCCCAACTGCAATGTCCCCGCTGGCCTGGTCACTCATAACTAACCCCCTGCCAGCCTGGTTGCTTCTTACTACCCCCTCTGCTGGCCTGGTTGCCCCCAACTGCCTCCCCACTGGCCTGATTGCCCCACACAGCCTGCAGTTCAGTTGTTTGGTCATACCTCACTAGCCCCCCTGCTGGCCTGGTCTTAGGCAGCCATCTTATGAGGGTATGAGGGTCAATTTGCATATTACCTCTTTATTATATAGGATTTCATATATTTATTCTTTTGTCAATCCTAACCCAAGGATATTTTCCCATTGATTTTTAGAGTGCAAGGGAGGGAGGAGACAGAGAGAGAAATATTGATGTGAGAGAGACACATCAATTAGCTGCCTCCCACATACCTGGACCAGGGCCACGGCCAGAGCCTACAACTGAGGTATATACCTTTGACCAGAATCAAACCCTGGACCTTTCAGTCCGCAGGCCAATGTTCTATGCATTGAGTCAATAGCTAGGGCTATTTCATATACTTTTCATCAGTGCAAGGCAGGTAGACAGCATGGTCTGGAGGTCTGAAAAGTTGGTGACTGCTGGTCTGAAGAAATGCCATGCAGTGCTAATGTTTGGAGGTAGTAGTTGCACCCTGCACAGACAAGGGGCAATATAACAGCAACAGGTAATATGTACAGAGCATTTACTCTTCGCCAGGCACTATTCTATGTGCATCACATATACTGAGTTAGGTAATCCTTTCAACAGTCATGGTAAGTAGGTACTATCATCATCTCCATTTTACAGATGAGGAAACTTAATGAAGGAAGGGCCAAGTGATCTGCCTATGGTCACAGAAACAGGCAGAACTAAGTAGTAAACTTGGGCATTTTAGCTCTGGTAGCTCTGCTCTTAAGCAGTATATACTAGTATGCACTCCCTGCCTGCAACAATAAAAGCCAAAAGGATATTGGATGGTGGGTGCAAAGGCAGGTGGGGGACAATATGACTACTTGACAGCTTTTTCTAGGGCTAATGTTGAATTGGAGCCTTGCTAGCAGTTTGCCTTTCTAACATCTTTGCCCAAATACATCATGTGTATCAAATTAATCTCTCTATCTATAATGAGCAAGATAGTACATGTTTTGTGTGTTTTTAAAGCACTGGATCTGGAATCTCAAGACCTACAGCAACTCACTCAGTTCCTTCATAAAACGAAAAGGATAATATGTGCCTTGCTTACTTCACAAGATAAGCTTATGAGGCTTGATGAAAAGTGTGTGTGTGTGTGTGTAGCCCTAGCTGGTTTGGCTCAGTGGATAGAGTGTTGGCCTTCAGATGGAAGGGTCACAGTTTTGATTCTGGTCAAGGGCACATGTCTGAATTATGGGCTCAATCTCCAGAGTTGGGTGTGCAAGAGGCAGCCAATCAATGATTCTCTCTCATCATTCATGTTTCTGTCTCTCTCCCTTTCCCTTCCTCTCTGAAATCAATAAAAATATATTTAAAAAAGAAAAGTGTGTCTGTGTGTGTGTGTGTGTGTGTATGTGTGTGTGTGAGTGTGATTTTCCAAATTATTAAGTGCTACATAACTCTTTGAGCATTGTTATTCAAGGTGTTGGTGAGCATCTTGAAGGCAGGGATGTCCTCATATTGATCATAGTGTCACTAGCACCTAGTCCAAGTGCTTGTAACTTATTACATTCAGCAAATGTTTGTAACTGAATGAATTAATGGACACTGAACATAAGCATATGGATAATTTGGATTATTCTCTATATATCAAGAGAAACTGCTTTCAAGTTGTTACCTTCAGGGGGTGAGATGCACTTTTCCACCAAAATGCTAGGATTGTCACTTTCATTGGCGCTACACTGGGACCCCACTTGCAGACAAATCCTCTCATTCAGGGGCACTTCTTTTGAACGACGAGTTTCTGGAGCAATTTCCTAAGGTTAGGAAATAAAAATAGGCATTGCTACAGCAAACACACAGAAATACACTTATGTAATAAAACATTAGCATGGCCAGATGTGTAAAAAATGGAAAGTTATTCAATGGTATACATAAGTCATCTCGACTTGGGGTGATTTTCTCCACCCACCAACCCTGGGGGACTTTGGAATTGTCTAAGAACACTTTCAGTTGTCATGACTTGAAGGAACTTGCTACTGGCATTGAGTGGGTAGATGCCAAAGATGCTGCTAAATATCCCACAAAGCACTGCACAGCCTTCCCTTCCCTCTATAACAAGAATTATCCTAGGCCAAATGTCAGTGGTATCACCATTAAGAAACCCTGTTATAGATAAAAGACAATTTTCCATGTTTTAAATGTATAAACATTAGGACATTTACCTAGAAATTCTACCATACTAAAATGTCACCTGTCTAAAAGCAATTCTATGGAAAACACAATAATATTATCAAAATTCCATTCCAAGCAGATGCAATATGCCATCAAGATCAAGGTAAAAAGGATTGCTTAGTCATCCTGGTCACATCTGAGGAAAGGAAGTAAAGAAAGAGGGCCTCAGGGTCAAAGATAAATTTTTCATTAAAACATCTTTCTGTACTGTTTGACCATTTTTATTATCTTACATACCCATAGAAATTTTAATGGTTGATATACGCACTGAGTATTCCAAACTCTTATTCTGAAAAGTAGATAAGTTTTATGAAACCACAGAAAGCTAACTTAAAGATAACATACAGACATAAATCATAAATCTAGTTATTATGATTCAGAATAATAAGATTAAAGGGTTCCTCAGGAAAATATCTCCCAAGGTGACGGAGTTGTTATTATTAAAAATGGAGTTGCTTTTAATCAGAGCTCCAAGGAGTTTCCTGTTTTGCAATAGTTTCTGACTCAAGTTGAAGACAGCATTTCCTTTTATATACGTGCTGATGGCCACGAAGGGGAAAATTGGTCACAGCTGACTCTATTTTCCATCCTAAGGCTCTACACTTCCATTTCACATGGCTGCTTCCAAGTGAACATGAGGGCAAATATGAGATACTCCCAAAACCAGGACATAAAGGATGCCATGTGAGAGGTAGCTAACAAATCAAGAATTCATGAATAGCAAAGATGAAAGAAAATCACTTTATAGAGATTGAACAGCTCTTAAGCCCGGACAAGACAACCCTCTGAAAAGGGAGTTAGTTGGTCAGCCCTGGAAGAAAATAAAAATAAATGTCTGTTAGAAAATTCTGGCTAGGAGATAAGAAAGGGTGATTTAGCTCATGGACATTGAGTATTTCTGTCCTACCAGCAAAGCTATGCCTACCCTCAGTGGGGCCTCCTGCTATTCTTAGAGGGGTAAATTTTCACAACTAATTCCTAGCCAAGAAGCCTACTTATCATTTGGAATTCCATACAGTTGCTGCCAACAGGGATGGAACACATCAGTGAGGCCAACAGAAGGCTTTCTATAATATTTCACTTTTATAGTTTTCATGGCAAAGGAAGGAAGTGGCCCTTGAGAGGTGAATATGTGCTGAGGAAATGAAGTTTCTCAGCCTGTGAAGTGGAAAGCCTGCTCCAGGATCCTGGTAATGGTGGCAAGAAAGGTCCAAATGCAAATTTCACCAAGCTCACAATTTTATTAAGCACAGGTTTTACACACTAAGTCCTCACTTAATGCCATCAGTAGGTTCTATGACTTTTGAAATGACAATGATGTATAACGAAGCTAGTTTTACCACAAGTTAATTGATATATAAAAGAGTTGAGTTCCTATGGCATCCTATCAATATTATAACAAAAAGAGGTTGAACAAAACAATATTATCCCAAGACCTCTTGTATAGCCCTGAAGGAGCCACCCTGACCCAAGGATCCTTGATAATTCTTATTTAGAAGCTGCATTTGCCCTTGAAGAAACCAAGGGGAAAATGTGCATTCAAATGCCATAAATTAGAATCATCATAGAAAATCTCAGTTCTCTTATTACATTAAATATTGTTCCAGGGAGAGAGCTGAGCAGTTTTATTACACAAATATTTTTATTATAATGGAATTTTTAATTGAAAAAATACTTTAGTATCTAAATCTGAACCTTATGTTTTGCGCATAGGAATAATAAAAGGACTTAGAAAAGAGATGGGGGGGATAGAATCATTTTTTAAAATATCTTTCAAAGTTCAGGGTAAATAATATTAGATTGGCATGAATAAAGTAGGAATCCACATTGTCAATGATCGCCAAGTCAAGCACACTTCTTGGTAATGAACTAAAGCCCTCGGAGCAGATCTGGATGAGGTATGTGAGATGGCTCCCATGTGACTTTCAGTTATGGTGACTCATTCCACTGGTAGCTAGCTGCTGTATGATATTATGCTCCACCCTTCAAATAATCTGTCCTCCTTTGAAAGTTTATCAAAAATCAAGGCAAGAGTCCTGAATTGATCCCTCCCTTTAGGACCAATGTTCATTTGGCTGTATCAAAACTTTCCCAGTTGCAGATTCCTTTCTAAGAACGAACGGGGTATCAGTTTCAGCTCTGCCTCTCTCGATGCCTGGACAAAACAACAATCTTTTAATTTATTCATCTGGTGAGACTTTTCTACCTCTTGGTGGTGAAAGATACTATCTAAAATCTGATGCCAGATCCTTCTTTCACTTGCCAGATTGGGAAGCTAAAACAGTGGTGGGGGACAGCCACTTAAGCTAATTTTTTAAAAGAATCATTATAAACACTTGATTCATCTTAATGGTCCTCCAATCTGAAGACTGAAAAATGACCTCCAGGGTTTATCTCATTTAGCAATTTGAGAACTTTGGACATTCACATCAGCCCCTTAACATGTGCAAACGATTATAATACCACTTCTTCAATATGCTTTAAAGGATGTTTGTACCCTAGTTTTGTCTGATGATGTTAATGCTGGGACTGAAGGACAGAAAAAGAAAAGGAAAATTACTCCCACCATTTATTCCTAGCCTCAAGACTATAACCTTCAAAAGATCCAGACAGGAAATCCCCCAGCACTAGTTGAAGACATAATCCATTTATCACAAATTTGGGATTGATAGCCACCAACGCTGTCAAATGGCTGAAATAAGTTACTTTAAACAGAGGTCACCCTTTATGGTCTTTTCAGGGACAAAATCAAATGATAATATAAGGTTGCACCATAAAAATGAAAATTGCTGCCAAAACCTGTTTGGCTCAATGGATAGAGCGTCAGCTTGGGGACTGAAAGGTCCCGGGTTCGATTCCGGTCAAGGGCATGTACCTTGGTGGCGGGCATATCCCCAGTAGGGGGTGTGCAAGAGGCAGCTGATTGATGACGCTCTCTCATCCATGTTTCTAACTCTATCTCTCTCCCTTCCTCTCTGTACAAAATCAATAAAATATATATTTTTTTAAATGAAAATTGCTTATGGTTCAACCTAACAATTGCAATAATGATAAAAGCTAACAATTACTGAGCACTAATTCTGTAGTCAGGTGTATTAAAAGCATCATATTCTTTTCTTTTTTATTTATTTCCTAGAGGCCTGATTCATGAATTCATGCACGGGTGGGGTCCCTTGGCCTGGCTGGTGATCGGGGCCTATCAGAGCCATCTCTCCCAGTCCCTATTGAGGCCATTGGAGCCAGCCAGCCAGGGGGGAGGGACCACAGGATGTTGGCTGGCCATGGGAGGTAGGTTGTGGAAGTGCACTGACCACAAAGGGGCAGCTCCTGCATTGAGCATCTGCCCCCTGGTAGTCAATGTGTGGAATGACTGGTTGTTAACAGTCACTTAGGCTTTTATATATATAGATTGATTTGAGAGAGATAGGAAAGAAGGGAGAAAAACATTGATCTACTACTCCACCCTCTCATGCATTCACTGGTTGATTCCTGTATGTGACCTGACTGGGGATCAAATCCACAACGTTGACACATCAAGACTATGCTCTAACCAAGTGAGGTAACCTGCCAAAACCCACAAATATCATCTCCTTTTAATACACGTGCCCTTCATATGAAGTAGGTACAGTTGACCCTTGAACAACTCAGGGTGGTGTATCAATACCCCTTCTAGCAGTTTAAAATCCGCATATAAATTTTAGCCTATAGTGGGCCCTTTGAATACACAAATTAAACCAACCACATGTTGAAAACAGTATTTCTGATCCAATGTTGGAAAACAAAGCTGGGAAACAGTGGTTGGGAATGCAGAAATACTGTATTTGATCCACAGTTGGATGAACTCACAGATTTGAACCAGGAACATACTAAGGGTTGACTGTATTTATTTTTTAAAATCTACATATAAGTGAACCTGTACAGTTCAAAATTGTCATTTAAGGGTCAACTGTACAATTATTAGCTCATTCCCCCACCAGCTTTTTATAAACAAGCAACTGGAGGCTCAGAGAGTTTAAGTGACTTGCCCAAGATCACACAGCAAGTTGAAAGAGGAAAAGACAAAATTTCAAATCCAATTCTGATTCCACTGCCTCCTCGTTTCTTTTAAGTTTAAAGTCCTATGAGTATAGTGAGGAATTAACCCCACCTGGCCAATCCTTGAATGTGGTTAACAAGCTAACAAATAGGGAACGGTTAGAAAAAAAGTGACCTTTCAGGATTTCAATTAGATACTTAGGGGAGACTTAGGTGTCTTTTCCAGAATTTCTCAAGACTGAACTACCAGAAATTGCTACAAAGACTCCCAATGCCTAAAGCCCCTCCTTAGGAACAAGAGGAAGCCATATTGTGAAAAGCAGAACTCTAACTACTCAAGTTTCACAGTTAAGGAATATTACAGGCTCCTGCATTTTAGAGGACTTCTTTGAAAATGCAAATACTTTTGACTAACCTCAATTAACACCTAAACCTTAATTAACACCTCAGCAAGAAAAGGTTGAGGGAGGCAAATTAACACATTTCCCTCAAGAGACAAAACCTGTTACTTCCTGACTTTCTTAAGCCTTCACATAATTATTTTCCTTATCCCAGCAAAATTAGGGAAGTGAGTAGAGTCACACTTTACACACAAAGAAACTGAGGCTCAGTTTAAGTGATTTACCCCAGGCCACTGACCTTGTTAAGTGGCACATCAGCTAGCACCTAGCCTTGTCCTGCCACCAAACCGCTTGAACTGTTGATTTCACAATTCACAGCTCCAAAATAGTGTCACTAATAACAACTTATTATTTGGCCTCAAAATCCTGGACAAAGTCAACCCTAAACATCCCCTCACACTCCCACTGAAAGAAGGTATCTATACTAATAATAGAGACATATGCATATTGGTCAGGACACCCTCATGCAACGACCAAACAGTAGGCAGCATGAGGCAAACGACTGAACAGCAGGCTATGTAGGGGGACCAGGCTGGCAGGGAGGGCAGTGAGGGGTAACCAGGCCAGCAGAGGGGGGCAGTGAGGAGCAACCAGGCCAGCATGAGCAGGGGGGGACAGCTGGGGACAACCAGGCTGGCGGGGGGAGGGGGCAATGAGAGGCAACTAGGCTGGCAGAAGGGGGTAGTTGGGAGTGACCAGGCAGGCGCAGGGGGGAAGGGGGGATTTGGGGGTGACCAGGCTGGTGGGGGGAATAGTGAGGGTTGGCCAGGCCAGTGGAGGGAAGGGGATTTGAGGGTGACCAGGCTGGTGGGGGGATAGTGAGGGTGACCAGGCCAGTGGGAGAGGGAGGCAATTGGGGGCAACCAGGCTGTTAGCAAGGGGCAGTTAGGGGTGACCAGGCCAGCAGGGGAGGGCAGTTACAGGCAATCAGGCCAGCAGGCAGAGGTAGTTAGGGGCAATCAGGCAGGCAGGCAGGTGAGCAGTTAGGATCCATGAGTCCTGCATTGTGAGAGGGATGTCCAACTGCCAGTTTAGGCCCGATCCCTGTGTGTGGGATCGGGCCTAAACCAGCAGGCGGACATCCCCCAAGGGTCCCGGACTGGAGAGGGTACGGGCTGGCTGAGGAGACTCCACCCCCCCATGCACGAATTTCATGCACTGGGCCTCTAGTCCTATATAAGGCCAATATGCAAATAGTCTGAATGACAGAATGACAGGCCGCTATGATGTGCACTACCATCAGGGAGCAGACGAGCTCCCACAGAGGGAACACTGCTCAGCCAGAAGCTGTGCTTACAGCTGGCGAGCACAGTGGTGGTGGCGGGAGCTTCTCCCACCTCCACAGCAGCACTAAGGATGCCACTCCCCAAGGGCTCCCAGACTGCAAGAGGGTGCAGGCTGGGCTTAGGGCCCCCCACACCCGAGTGCATGAATTTGGTGCACTGGGCCTCTGGTAAAGATATAAAAGAGCTTTGAACAGATGATATGACGCTTTGAAGAACTTATCAATTAGAAGGGGCTACAAACCAATAAATCCCAAGAGAAAATTCTGCTGAATAAAATCATCATAAAGAACTAATCCTGTTATCAAAAATTCACTTGAATCAGTCAACTACATCTGACTGGAAAGGCTGAAAGTTCCCCTGGTTTCTTCAGACATCAGAAAACCTTCTGGTCAACCCCACCTGCTAGGAACATCTCATTTGTTTTTGCTTCCCATACAGTCCTTTGCTTCGAATTACATAGTTCTTGTGTAACTATCCATGCATGTGATTAACAAGATGGTGAATGTGAAAATTCCCTGAGAAATTGAAAGTGTTATATAGATACAAGGGTTTAGGTAGGAACCAATTTTAACATATTTACTTAGTGAGTGCCTAATAAAGATATCTACCATAGTATTTCCTATCAGAGAATCTCAATTGTATTTATCAAATAATTAGCAAATCATTTCATATGTTCCATTTTCTCAACAGTTGTTTCTGTAATGTTATGTTAAAATTTAGACATAGCTCAAAATCAAATTTTCACCTTGAAGTAAGATCAGAATAGGGCTTATTCTTGGCTCCAATTCATAGTGTTCATTTTACCTCATTAATGCCATATGTTCCAGAAAACTTACCTTATCCTGCTTGTTGCCAAAATGACTAAAATACCACAGACTACAATTCGGGCTGGCTCCCTCTGGAGGATTCCATGTCCATATCACTGTGCAGAGGTTTTCAACTGAAACACTCAAATTCGTCACTGGTGGCTGAATTTCTGTTCAAATCAAGCATAAGAAATAAATGTATCAATATCAGCCACTATTTGGGTTGGTTCATTTAATTCATTCCTCCAAGTCCTAGAAGCCTAGAAGTCAAGAATAAGAAAAATGAGCAGAGTCCAGTGGCTGAGTATCAACCTATGAACCAGGAGGTCAATGTTCAATTCCAGGTCAAGGCACATACCCAGGTTGTGGGCTCAATCACTAGTGTGGGGTGTACAAGAGGCAGCCAATCAATAATGCTCTCTCATCATTGATATTTTTATCTCTATCTCCCTCTCCCTTCCTCTTTGAAATCAATAGAACTGTATTTTAAAAAACTGAGTAGAGATATCTAACATTTATTGAGACAGGCACTATTCTAAGTACTCTCCACATATTCACTCATTGAATCCTCACAACAACCTTATAAGACAGAGACTATCAGCCTGTTCTTAAAGATGAGGCAACTAAGATGCAGAGAAGTTGAATCACTTGTCTTATATCCAAAGGCTAGTGAATGGCAGAGCTGGGTGCAAACCCAGAAATTCATGTGGCTCCAAAGCCACCTTCTAAACTACCTGCTATACAGAGAAGAGTATATTCTTAAATTTCTAAGTTTTCGTCTCTCAGGAATTTGGGTTCCCCACACTTAGGATCTACGTCTCTCTCAATACAGGCACTTCCATCTCAGCAGTTCTGCTAGTGAGCTTAAGCGGCTCATCGGCTTGCTAACATGATCTGTCAATTATTTATAACTCTGACAAACAAGTACTGAGAGAGATTTAACAGCCTTTATTGTTCCCCTGAGTTCTGACATTAAACAGTTGGAACTGTACCTTTAGCTAAATCTGAAGAGGAAATAAAAGAGGAGAAACTGTGAACCAGTATCTTAAAAATGTTTTTCATTTGGAGAAAGCCTCCACACTAAATATTTACTATTATTTTAGACTAAGCTCTAAGATGAGGGAAAGAAATTTTTACTACTTCTGCCAAATACAGGGAAATACATAGGGGCAGGGGTACATAATTTCAAACTTCCTTGAGAAGTTCCCCTGAGGCCAGGACTACCAAAATCATCACCCCAGATACTGGGGTACAGGAATGCTTTATCCTACCTTCACAACCTCTACCTTCACAACCTTTCTGTAAATCAAAAAATTATTCCAAAGAGGAGAAACCAAGATGGCAGCATAGGTAAATTCCTGAACTGCTGCCTCACACAACAACTTCAAAACTACAGCTAAAAGACAAAACAGACATCATCCAGAACCACAGTAAGGCTGGCTGAGTGGAAATTCTACAACTAGAAGGAAGGAGAAAAGCACACTGAGACTCAGAGAAGGGAGACACAAACTCCCAACTGCTCTGAACTCCAGTTCCAGGCAAGATTCTAAGGACACAGGCTCATACTGGGAGAAACTGGACTATCTGGAAGCGGGTGGAACTTTTTTTTTTTTAACATATTATATTGATTTTTTTTTTTTTTTTTTTTACAGAGAGGAAGGAGATGGATAGAGAGCTAGTAGAAGCATCGATGAGAAACATCGACCAGCTGCCTCCTGCACACTCCACCAGGGATGTGCCCACAACCAAGGTACATGCCCTTGACTAGAATTGAACCTGGGACCTTTCAGTCCTCAGACCGACGCTTTATCCACTAAGCCAAACCGATTTTGGCTAGCGGGTGGAACTTGAGGGCGGCTTTCTCTCAGAGGTGCTTGCAGCAATTAACGAGGGACACTGTAACCCAGGCTTCTTGGGGCAGAGCTGACAGTCAGCCATTGCTGTTTGCTCCCCAAGACTCTGCCCCATCCAAGCTGTGTACAGACGCTTTTGCATATGAATGGCCTATTCCTTTGAAATCTAAACTCACCTAACAAACAGTAGCTGAGTTAGTGAGACCCAGAACATCCAAAAGAAGGCCCAAGGCCCAGCAGCACAGCTGGGCCTCATCTGGGCACCTCAAAACCCAAAGAAGAGGAATCTGCAGATCTCTCCGTAGCTCCTGCTGGGTGGCCTCAGGCAGAAGCTAATTTAGCACCTCCTTGGAGATGCAAGAGCCACTGTACCAGTGGTCAGAGTGGGATCATCCAGATTACAACTCTTCAGATCCATAAAGGACACACTCGGGGGGCAGACTCAGTGAGCACCAAAGCCCCACTGAAGCAAGTCCTGCCTCCTATGAGTGTCTCCAGCACAGAAGTTCTCCCATCGTAGACACAGCTGATCCTCACAGCCAACTGGCCTGGAGGCCAATTCCTCCCAGTGATACCAACAATAATCGAGGCTTAACTATAACAAGACTGTGCACACAACCCACACAGGGGTGCAGCAAAAGTGTCCACCTCGGGTAACTGGAGAGGCTGAGCCACTGGGCCATATTGGACACCTAGCACACAAAGCCACTCTATCAACAAAGGGAAGAAGCCAAAATGCAGAGACAAACAGGTCACAAAGGACAGAAATGGAAAAAAGCAAACTACTGGCTATAGAGTTCAAAACCACGGTTATAAGGTTTTTCAAGAATTCTCTAGAAAAGGCTGATAAATTTAGCGAGACCCTCAAGGATATGAAAATGGACCAACTAGAAATTAAGCATACACTGACTGAAATAAAAATAATATACAGAGATCCAACATCACACTAGAGGGTCACAAGAATCAAGTCAAAGATTTGCAATACAAAAAAGCAAAAAACACCCAACCTGAAAAGCAAAAAGATAAAAGAATCCCAAAATATGAAGATAGTGTAAGGAGCCTCTGGGACAACTTCAAGTGTACCAACATCCAAATTATGGGGGTACCAGAAGAAGAGAGAGCAAGATACTGAAAATCTATTTGAAGAAATAATGACTGAAGACACCCCCACCTGGTGAAAGAAATAGACTTACAAGTCCAGGAAGTGCACAGAATCCCAAACAAAAGGAATCCAAAGAGGACCACACCAAGACACATCATAATTAAAATGCCAAGAGCAAAATACAAAGAGAGAATATTAAAAGCAGCAAGAGAAGAACAGTTACCTACAAAGGAGCACCCATACAATTGTCAGCTGATTTCTCAAAAGAAACCAAGCAGGCCAGACAGTAGTGACAAGAAATATTCAAAGTGATGAATAGCAAAAACCTACAACCAAGATTATTCTACCCAGGAAAGCTATCATTCAAAATTTAAGGTTAGATAAAGAGATTCAGCCAAAACCGGTTTGGCTCAATGGATAGAGCTTCGGCTTGGGGACCGAAGGGTCCCAGGATCGATTCCGGGCATGGGCATGTACCTTGGTTGCAGGCATATCCCCAGTAGGGGGTGTGCAAGAGGCAGCTGATCGATGACACTCTCTCATCGATGTTTCTAACTCTCTATCTCTCTCCCTTCCTCTCTTTAAAAAATCAATAAAATATATATTTTTTTAAAAAGAGATTCACAGATAAGGAAAAGCTAAAGGAGTTCATCACCACCAAACCAGTATTATATAAAATGCTTGAAGGTAATCTGTAAGAAGAGGAAGAAGAAAAAGGTAAATATAAAAATTATGAACAACAAATATATATCTATCAATAAGTGAATTTAATAATCAAGTGAATAAAAAATCTGATGATCAAAATAAACTGGTGAATATAATAGAATCAGGGGCACAGAAATGGAATGGACTGGCAATTCTCAGGGGAAAAAGGGTATAAGGGGGTGCAGGAAGAGACTGGACAAAAATCGTACACCTATGGATGAGGACAGTGGAAGGGGGTTAAGGGCAAAGGGTGGGGTGGGAACCGGGTGGAGGGGAGCTATGGGGGGAAAAAGAGGAACAACTGAAATAATCTGAACAATAAAGATTTATTAAGAAAAAAAGTATTCCAAAATAAAGTTTATTAAACTAATTTTTAAACAACCACCCAAATTATCTATAAAGTGGCAAACAATAATTATTAATTACTTAAGGACTACAGTTATATTAATTTATCAATCTATACTGTTATATTTCATACCCTATGTCCTTGGTCGGCAAACCGTGGCTTGCAAGCCACATGTGGCTCTTTGGCCCCTTGAGTGTGGCTCTTCCACAAAATACCACAGCCTGGGCGAGTTTTTTTGAAGAAGTGGCATTAGAAGAAGTTTAAGTTTAAAAAATTTGGCTCTCCAAAGAAATTTCAGTAGTTGTACTGTTGATATTTGGCTCTGTTAACTAATGAGTTTGCTGACCACCATCCAATGCCAACACTTTGGAGTACATTGGGCCTCTTACATAATCTGCAATACGTATAGCATTACTTTGCTCTTTAACTGAACAAAAAAATTCCATTTGTCCCAAAAATATCAAGTGGACAGTCACTGTGTAGTTGGGATTTCCACAACCGTCAGTTTTGTATATCGCAGCCAAAAAGGCCCTTGACTCTCAATATTCATTCCCTTTCCTGACTCTATTACATTAGACTTTCAGCAAGTAGACCAGAGACCCAAATGTAGGGAGGAGAAGCCCACATGCTAGGCTTTGTGGAAACAGGGAATTCCTATTGCACTTCATTCTAACCCAGCTAGTGCCAGAGAGCACCAATGGCTCAGGCAACAGGATTTTAAGTAACTACAGGAGTTTACAGCTATTCCGTTTTGGCTCTTCTAACATCACATCAATGATGTTTGTTTGTTTGTTTTTGTGTTTATTTCCAAAAGGGAGGGGGAGAGAGAATGGAAACATCAATGATGAGAGAGAATCATTGATCAGCTGCTTCCTGCACTTCCCCTCCTGGGGCTCAGTGTCCTTGATAGGAATCAAACCTGGGAACCTTAAGACTGCAGGCCGATGCTCTATCCACTGAGCCAAACCAGATAGGGCCAATGATGTTTTGAAGACATATCATTTGTCTGATATAGAGCCTCTAATAAAAACTTGCTCCTACTGAAGACAATAATCTACTATGTTAGGATTATTTGTCTTATTTTCCAGATTCCAGAACTACACTAAAACAACCTTTCTACCTACCTCCCATTCCCATACAAAAATTAAAGCCCTGATAATAAAA